CTCCAGGACATCCTAAGCTCGTGCCAGGCTTCGGCCTTGACTTTTCCATTCACCAAGATTCTCTGACGTAAACTGGTTCTTTTTCATCAACCAACTTCATCAAAGATCAACTTGAACCTTTGGACTGCATCAAGCCGAGACGTGCAAGTATTCAAATTTAGTCTTATTAATTGATACATTAGGTATCATTTGCACCTTTTTACAAAGGTGTGTTTGAACTAAGAATCTGATGTTTCCTTCAGGCTGTAAATCTGCTGAATATCAAATGGTACCATAGTTTCATATTCTTATTTCTCTTCTCTTTACTGAGTTAAGCTTTAACCCTTTCCTATACAAACTGTATGTGTGTGTGTGTGTGTGTGTATGTGTATGTTAGACCAGTTTAAGTGTTTATGTAGTTAATAAAGTCTTACTTGTATCACACTTGACGTTGTTCATTGTTTGCTCATAACTGGAGTCCCTAATCATGCAGATTTATGCTACAAGCTCTGTGTAGAGTTGTACAGTAAGAAAGTTATTTCCTTTATCCAGGAAATTAACGTTCTTAGAATTGACAGACAGTTGACCCTGAGAAGTCAGCTAAATATCTACAGCGGATCTAAATATTTATAATTAATTATACATAGTTATGATTAATTATTCATATTTCCCCATAATATGATTCGCTACAACATATTACAGTATAGTTGTTTTTAATGAAAATGTAATGACAGGAATGATATGGGTAATCATTTGAATTAAATATTTTATAAATGACAGGTAATTCATCTGTGACTCCATGTCTTGAATTGTATATTTATGCAACTAAGCTATGGTTCATGTTGCACCAGCAACACCCTTGAATAAGTTCTTCCCCTGTTTTTACTTGACTTGTGATGAGAAATGTGGTAATTTATCTTAAATATGTTATGTGTTCTGTTGTTCCAGTGATTGATCCAGAGCAGAATGTGCAAGAGTTGGTATACGATCTCCGCTCCCAGTGTGACGCCATCCGTGTGACTAAGACAGTGCGGCCCTACCGAGTGGTTATCTGTCCTGTCAACGAGAACAATGCCGCCCTCATAGTCAGTGATGGAAGGGTAATGCTGTGGGAGCTTAAAGCTCATGCCAGTAAATCATCTTCAGGCCTGAGGTACAGTTCTTTAAACATAAAAAACTAATTTATATTGTAAGACATTACAGACTAGTAGCTGACTTGAAAGTAGTATTATAATAAAGGCTTTGCTTACTTTGCTTGATATACCTTCTTGGAGCATCAATTCTATGCTGTTTTAAATACCACATAGTTTTTATACTAATGTAATCAATCTGCCGTATCTATCATGTTACTTTCTGACTCAACCAATGGTGTTAATTTTCAGAACTGTTATTGAAAATATATTTTCACATGTCAAAAAAATCTAAACTTTTTTTTTAATTTTTTGTATTGTACAGTGTATATGCTTGCTTTAATAAAAATGTACTGAGTTTTAGTAATGATAATAATACAGTTACAAAAAAGTCATAGAAGTATTGCACAAATGAGAATTTGGTAGAGAAATTTGCTTAATTCTGAAGATAATGCCACAAAGCAAAAAATCTTTATGGTTCCTAAAAATAAAATGAATAAAATAAAATAATGTGTTTGTTTGTTTGTGAGATTTACCTACAGTACATCTTTTTTCCCCCTCAGTTCTGGCTTGCCACCTTTGTATTCTCCCGTGAATTTCTGTGGAACACCTTTACTTCAGAATCAAAAATGCATCCCAGATCTTTCTCTGAATACAATGATAGGTAAGATAACCATCCTTCCACATACACACACATTCCTTTTAGCTTCTAGATATACCACATTTAAAGAGTCTCAAGCTTCATTCTCCTGCCTTTGGCTTGAGGAGATATTTTCAGACGGAAGAACCTGAGGCCAGGTCTGTCTTGTCTTTGTCAGGAAGAGGCGTTTATCTGTACATCTTATTTATCCTTTTAGAAACAAACCTTGATAACATTCTTAGTCTGTGGTATGGCTTATCTCCTGTTACGTCTTTAATCCTAGGCATTGAACAGCTTTTTAAGAGTGCTTTTTCTTGTGTTCTGTGCTTGAGCAATGCTATTGGTGGGCTTTTAGGGTTTAGAAGAAGTTTTAAACCTGTGTGACTTTATTTTTTCCATGGAACATGGAGTATTTTAAAGAATGTAGTTCAGCAGGGCCGTGCAGAGATCTTTGGAGGGACAGGTGCTCAAAGTATAAAAGGGGCACATGGAGCACAGCTTTTAGGGCTGTGCTCCTTGCTGAGACATGTATCGAAATGGATGCTTCTGTAGTGATAGCAGCAAATGCCATGATGCAGTTTTGAAAAAGAAACCCAACAGAAAAGACCATTTTAAGTTTAAAAGTTAAATAAATAGTTATTTGCACCTCTTAATCACTCTGAAAATAGAAACGGAATTAAATTAGGCCTATTATTATTATTGAGTTTACAGGGTATGGTGGTGTTGCTGTTGTAAACACTACTGTTGTTGTAGAAAAAGTTTTTCTGTCTTATTTAAAATATAATTATATTATAATCCTGTTCTGAATGTATTACTTTATAATGATGATAAAAACATTATTGATAAGTAGCCTATAAATCAGAGGATGAGTTTTATCAGGGTTGTGATAATAATTTTTTAGGCAATCTACGTTTTTAAAATAAATAGGCTACTGTAATAAAAAAAAAAGTTCAAAGTAATAGTTTTTTAGTCAGATAACATAAAGACAAGTCCCCTCGACGCCCTTTAAACTTTTCCCAATCAAACAGCAAGAACAAAAGAGAACAGGCACCTTTGTTTATATTGCTGTGTGTAGAAAGTTAGCTGCATTTTTAATATTTAATTTTAAATAAATGTAATTTTGTCCCCTGCACTTTATTCGGGCAGCTGTGTTCACGTAGAGGTTTCTAGATTTAAATTCAAAGAGACAGTATCAATAGTCTATGCATGACCTGACGTTTTATTCGTATCCAAAATGAGGAGAAGTGAATATCTGGAGCGCTCAACACTCTCATGCAATGTATGTTTAGTTTAATTCATACTCGAAGCTCTCGTGCAGAAAGTCCAAAACAGACTCATAGAAGGAATGACTTATGATGCGCAGGAAACCCTAAAATGGACAAGAGCATCCGGCTATCGCTGTAGCTGAGCTGAATAAAAAGCAGAAAAAAACGTGAAGACAATAAACACACAATTGCGAAAATATACGGTTTATGTGTGTTTTTCAAGTTATCTCCAGGTAGTAAATAAACTTTATGAATAATGCAGTACTGATTGACATGTCATATAGTAGCCTATAGAAACTATACATTTCCTGCCTTATTCTGTGATAAAAATTGTCATGTTATGATCATAAACAATACAAACAACAGCTGTGCATGCTATCTTCACGCAGTTCTTGTATAATAATAATAATTTAGTAATATAAGTATACAAGCACACCGCTCCGCTGAGAACTCCACTTACCGGCAGCCACGGACGTTATGAAGGCATCCTGGTAGTGCACTACATTAAAGGTGTCTGAACGTGAGGGATAGTCCCTGATGAGATCGTCAGGTGGATAATTTTATTTACGACTAAATTATTATTCATTCATTTTACTAATAGTTACATTGGGCAGGCCTTCACAAAATGGCGTTTAATTACAAAAAAAAAAAAAATTTGCCTTGACAAAAGGGCTCTTTGGGCATCAAGGGGAAAAGGAGCAGGTGCTCAAGCACCCATCGCACCCCCCTCTGCACGTGCCTGCAGTTCAGTAAATGAGGACTGATGTTTTCAAAGAAAAAAAACATATGCCGAAAGCTGGGGACTTATAGTTTATTATGAATTCATTTATGATAAAATTTGCTTATCTTCACAATAATTGATGCCAATGTTTTAATGTCATTTCATTTTTGTTACTGTCAAAAATCCATGTACAGTTGTAGTCATAAGCTTACACACCTCCTTTCACACTGAGTACAATTGAGGGACTATATAAATATGTAATTAATGTCCACTTGTGGATCATCCAGGTAACAACACACAATGGGTATGTTTACACTTGGTCACTTCATGCATGAGCAATGAGCAAAGCAAACCTGGTCTTTCATGATTGATGATTTAATTGTCACCTTCTCTCATTTGGCTTTACAGCAGCCTTAAAGAGCTGCTCTGTTGTTTCAGTTGATATGGTGTTAGATCAATTATGTGATCTGTCCCTGTTCCAGGTCACAGTCTGATTTCTGGAGTGGACTCCCCACGACCCCTGGCTGGTCAACAAGAAGTACATCTGAAGTTCCTGTTGACAGGTCTGCTGTCTGGCCTGCCTTTGCCCCCATTCTCCCTCCGGATGTGCCCTCCGCTTACCACAAAGAACATCAACCATTACCAGCCCTTATTGGCTGTGGGTGAGTACTTTCACATGCAAAGACCAGATACATTTTTCTTCTCCATTCTTCAGATGACATTTAAACATGCCCCAGCTCAGCACATCAAAGTGTTGGAGTACAGTTTCAGCCCTTATGAAACACAACATATGTGACCTGTGCTGGCAAAAATGAGTTAAAAGACCTTCAAAATGATGTATGATTTATTGTAATCGGACAAAAAATGACAATGAATTCAGCAGTCAGTTCTGAGAAAAATCCAGTTAAAGTTTTCTGAAGGTTCCAAAGCAAAATCACCTAGCAACAGTGCATTGTTTCCTCCACTTCTTTTCATAATATGAATTACTATATTAATAACAATATACCATATTGTATATTATGTTGTATATTGTATATATTGTATACCATATAATATAATGTCACAATATATAAATGTTTTGTTTTATTTTTATTATTAAAAATAAAAACAGATGCAAAAAAACAACAACAGTAGAACAAATATAAGAAAGAAACAAGCCTTGATGCTGGCATGGCACTAAAAAGTGAATAAATGAAGAAAGAAAGAAACAAACAAACAGTGCATTACTATTTTCATTGTACATCTAAACAAAAGCATTCAAAGAAAAAAAATCAAATGTAAAAATAACTTTAGTGTGTTCATTACAAATAAACTGATTATTAAAACTACAAAAGCAGTTCAATCAAGAGCAGCGATCTTTTGTTTTATTGTTAGATTAACATTGAGACAGATGGGCTATATATTAAGACCTGTACTGCACGGATCTAATATAATGTTACACATCAGATATTTTCCCCAACAGTTCCCCAAATGTTCACTTAAAGGGTTAGTTCACCCAAAAATGAAAATTCTGTCATTAATTACTCCCCCTTGTGTTGTTCCAAACCCGTAAGACCTTTGTTCATCTTCGGAACACAATTTAAGATATTTTTGATGAAATCTGAGAGCTCTCTGACCCTCCCATAGACAGCAAGGTAACTACCACGTTTAAGGTCCAGAAAAGTACCAAGATGATTGACAAAGTAGTCCGTGTGACATCAGTGATTCAACTGTAAAGTTACGAAGCTATGAGAATACTTCTTTGCGCTAAAGAAAACAAAAATAATGACTTTATTCCGCATTTTCATCTCTACTGCATCACTTTGGCATGCATTCACGACAGTATCATGACGCGAGCGTGTTGCGGCGCTGACCCAGATCCCACACGGACTACTTTGTCGATCATCTTGGTACTTTTCTAGACCTTGAACCGTGGTAGTTACCTTGCTGTCTATGGGGGAGAGCCCTCATATTTCATCAAAAATATCTTAAATTGTGTTCCAAAGATGAACGAAGGTCTTACGGGTTTCGAACAACATGAGGGTGAGTAATTAATGACAGAATTTTCATTTTTGGGTGAACTAACCCTTTAAGACATAACAGATCATGTTTGCGTGAATAGCCTACTTAAATACTGTAATTCTGTGTATACAGTATGTGTGTATATTTATTGGGATCGCGTGCTGGCGTAAGCAACTTTGTGCACGATTCAGTCAGCGGCAGCGTGAGAAGCGAGTGGAGAAAAGGTACTCCTCTAAGAAAACATAGAAATAAAGATAATTTTATATGTTTAATTACTATGTGGAGCATTGGGATCACTAGACGAGGGCTGAATTAAATATTTTTTTGTGTAAACCTGAAATTTGACCAAAATCTAAATTTTTCACTTTTTTTTGCCTGTAGCTCAAAATGAACCTGTGTGCATTCCAACTCATTTTGCCAGCATGGGTCACATATAAAGACATTTTAAAATCCTGAAAAGTGGCTTCCTGGCTTTGTCTTGGGTGTTGTTTGCTTGTGCCATGAGTGTCCAGCCCAGAATAAGTTTAGTTTGGCTTGAATGCTTTTTGTCTGGAACTGGCTAGGAGTTGGGTGGAAGTTAGTCATTAAGTAAATGTTGGTTATTAATTATTGGTTATTTTTAATATCACATTTCCCCTTCTTTCCCTTCTTTCCCCTCTTTCTCTGCCCACATACACACACCAAACTTCTGTCTTCAGTCTACCACAGAATACATTTTTTAAGCCAATCATCCAATAACCCTGACATCATTGTATAGAATAAAATAGTTTTTAGTCACTGAATAATAATTGAATTAATATATTTTTTTAGAGTTTTATGACAGTCATTCTCAATACAGATGAATGGATAGTGCCAAACAGTTCATCAAGCTTGTTGCAAAATTGTTGGTGACTTATGAAAAATGTCTCTTCAAAAAAATATTTTTCACAGTATAGTTAAGTTATAGCTCGCTCAATATAGCTCACTTAATCAATATATCATGCAAACATATTTAAGATGGATAGTCAACAAAGTGATTAGCTGTTTCAACACAAAATCGGCGTATGCAGTGAACTTTGGCATTTCTTTACATCTTTTCTCTCTGGTTGGTTCCTGCTGCATCACCCCACCATGCTGAGGTCTAGCTCAAGTGTAAGGATTGCAGATTTTTGAAGTTTAGTTTGACTGAAATTTAGGTTTTGTTTAAAGATGGCAAATTTAGACATATTAGATTAGAATTAGATTTAGAGTGTTTACACTTGGTCACTCAATATATCAGCTCACTCAGTGGTATGTTTTTGCACATACAGAGCGGCGTTTCAGGCAGAGCATGAACACAGAATTGATTCCTTTTTCGCCTGAATGGACACATACACGCAAAATTATCTCAAAATAACGATCTCGACAAGTATTTTCATGTCTTAAATGAACATAAACAGTGGAGAAAGAAATCACACGTGCATCATTATATTGGATCTGTGCATTCGGTCTTAAAGGGGCAGCAGCCTGTAAATACCTGCTGTTTAAGCGCCACCTGCTGTCAGAGAGTGACATTTGCGTCTCATTCAGCCCGTCTGCAGTTTTTGTTTCGTTCAGGTTTTTTATGTAGTATCACAAAGCTAAAGTCAGACCATTTTGTTTTTGTTTCAAATTTCAAAATTTTACAATCGAAATAACATGTATGCAACATCTTTGTTTGGATCATGATTAAAATATACAGCCAAAACCTTAGTTTACTTGCATGGAGAAATGTCTTTTATTTGTATTATTTATTTATTTGATTTGGGATTTGTTTTAAAATTTCAAGTTAGTATATTTTTTGACATTTTCAATTTCACAAAGTAATGTGCAGCCTTTTGGTCTGAGAAATAACAAAATGACACCTTTTTCAAAATCTGTCTTAAATCTAATTTTGTTAAAAAAGAAATTGAGAAAATTATATTGTGAAATCAGTATCATGAATCATATCACTAGTGAGTTGAGTGAATCGTTACATCCCTATATGCTACTAGTTTTTGCTGTGGTATTGAAGTAGTAAATTGTTCTTTAAAATGTTCCTGTGGCTCAGTGGTAGAGCATTGCTTTAGCAGCGCAAAAGGTCATGTGTGAGATTCCCAGGGAACACACATACTGGTAAACAAAATGTATAGCCTGAATGCACTATAAGTCGTTTTGGATAAAAGCGTCTGCTAAATGCATAAATTATTATTAATTATTAAATTATTTCTTTAAATAATAAGTGTTACTTAAATAATAAAGAACCATATTTTTTTTTGCTCATCTGAAAAATTATCCGATCTGTGACTCAAAATGTGATATGATAATGTAATATAATCCGAACCGTGAGATTTGTGATCCATTGCACCCCTACTCTCTTGACTTGTTATTTGAAGAAAAAATACAATATCTTTTATTCAGGCTAGTTAAATTCATTTTTGGGGGTGCCAAAATCTGAAGAATGCCTGCCCGAAGTGCTACCAGGGAGTTTGAAATTTTGCGAGCCCTGACACGCTTCAGTTGTACTCGCTCAGAAAAAGCGCATGTCAGAACAGCACGTGAATTAAATGTTTTACCGGCAAGGCTTTAAAGCAGATGCAAATAATGCATTTTTGGGATTGTGAATAAGTGCAGTGTCCTGTTAGTGTAACTCTACTGCAGAGTTAACATCTGATCTGAATAGGGTTGGGTATCATTTGAATTTTATCGATTCCGATTCCGATTCTTTTTGATTCCAATGTGATTAAATAATGATATCAAACATTTATCCTGTGTCTCTTTTTTGCAAACCATTTATTGGAGCTGAATACCGTGAACAAAATTCAACAGGCTACATAAAAACTGGACTCTTTAAGAGCTGTTTGTGTGCAAAATAGAAAAGTATGATTCTGGATAAATAGATTTTTTTTTCCCCAGTGGAAGTTGTGGTTCTCTCCTGATTCTGAAGAAAAAACATTAGACAACTAAACAAAATCACATGTAGCCTAATTTATGAATTAATGATTAAATGACTCACTCAAGATGTACTTGTTTCATTATTGGACGAATCAGCGTTCTTGAATGAATATCTTGTATGATTCCAAGACAAATACATTTTAACAGCCCCTTCAACAAATTAATCGATACATCTTCATTTGAAGTGTCAAAGTACTTTCAAAAAGGGATTTACTCTATTTTAATATACACATCGTACACCGTTTATATCTGAACTATAAACTTTTATCCCAGTACTTCTCTGATTTTAATGTTTGTAACAGAAATAATGATACTGTGTGGCTAAAAAGACTGTGAAGCTGTTTCATTCATGACAGATGACAGCTGCTCTCTTTAGGTCAATGGCAGCACGAACGCAGATTTAATTTGAACAGAAATGTTCAAATCACACTGATGTGATCGTACTCTACACGGACGAACCAAGTGATCACAACATTGATCGCACACGTCAAAGGTTGAGGAATGAAACAGACGAATCATTGTAATTTAGGAATAGAATCACGTTGGTGTTTGAATCGTGTTCGCAATATTTAACGATCTATTAAATTAAAGGCAGGGTAAGCGATTTCTGGTAGCCAATGTTGATATTTGAAAGCACCAAAACAAACACGCCCCAACCCAAAAGGGTCTTGCCCCTATTTTTATAGCTCCGCCCCACATATATGTACGCAACCCAGGCAACGATTAGTTC